TAAGCTCGTACCATACTCAGACTAATCCCAATTCGCACCGGGCTGGCCCAATTAAGGGACAAAGTGCTGATCAGATTAGTTTTTCTATACGAGAGGGTGTTCGAACTCTCAACCTCTCTTAAAGGATAAGAGTGCATGGCCACTCACGCCAACCAGTTTGGTTGAAGTTGTATACTTTTTAACTGTTCCTTGTACTCACACAGGTGCGTTTTCGTTGGCATTCCAACGGCTAGAAGGTTTTCTAAGAAATACATTTTGTAAGGAAAGGACTGCGGCTGATGCATCCTGCTGCTCTAACCCTAGAAGATAGCAGCTTTAGGCTAAACTTGAATAGTTGGTTGATATATAGATTATGAGCCATTGTTGTAACAGTCATTTTGTATAGTCCTGTGCATCCGACGAGTTCGGGCGGTTCGATTTTGTGAACTGCTTACCCGTTTAGATTTCGGTTGGGTGGTTCGGTTTTGTGAACCGTCCACCCGTTCAGATTTTGATTTGTAAAATTTATAACCAATCAGTTTACTTTCAAGTATAAATTACATCGGATATTATTTGTTTGGGGTTCAATCGATTTTAGTCATATTTCGGTTTTGTTCGGATTAAAATAAAAATTAACAACTTCAAATTAAACTAGTTAAACCTTACAGTCTAACAATTTAGTGATCAAAATATTACAAGTTATAAAATACAAATTACATGTTACAATTTAAAATTTTATACAATATGTAAAGGGTCCAATATATATGTAAAATTACAAAGATAAATGGACTCTACGAAGAGAAATAAAATAAATATATTTATTTATATTTCAATCCAAGAAAGTTTTATATAATATAGACCTAGTTTAAATATAATAAATAGATACATGGTGCATTTAACCAAAAAAATTTATAAATAGATTACAACTCAAAAAGACATGGTGTAGTTACAGGTTCCTTAGAAAGACAATACAATATCTGAAACACATGGCGCAACTGCTGCACTTTTGTTATGCCAACTTGTTTCTTCAATTGACATTCTTGTGTAATCCAAAGATGTTGATGAGGTGTATTCTTAAAATATTATAACAAAATTTATTCCGTGCAACGCACATGTTAAAATACTAATTATTTTAAAAAAATAAAAATATTTCAATATAACTATGATTTTAACATCAATCACAAATATTAAGCATTTATTTTCGTGCATCACACATAAGAGACTAGTAATAATAACAATAACAAAATTTATAAAGTGCCAATAGTACCTGGTACAATCATGTATACTATTTTTTGTAGTATCGCATACTATCAATATTGATGTCAAATTGCCAATAATACCTGGTTGTACGACAAGATATACTATATATTGTTGTACTTAATACTATTAGCATCATAAAAAATTCCATGATAATGACGATGATGACAACGACAACATGAGGGACCATGGTGTCTAACTATTGAAAAAAGCTATTGCAAATGAAAAGGTAGGATAACTGAAATTTCCAATTAAAACGAAATAAGCAACACCAAATCACTACACCTGTTGTGTCAACCATACCAGGTACAATCATGTATACTATATATTATTGTATTGCGTACTAACAATATTGATGCCAGTAATACCTAGTTGTACAACCAGATATACTATACATTATTGTACCTAATACTATTAGCACCGTAAAAAAATCCATGACAATAAAGACCATGGTGTCTGACTAGTGAAAAAAACTATTGCATACGAAAAGGGTAGGACAACTGCAATTTGCAATTAAAACAAGAAAAGTGTATGCTAATAGTATCAGGTACAACCATGTACACTGTTTTTTGTTGTACCGCCTACTGTCAATATTGATGCCATTAATACCTAATTGTACAACCAAATATACTATACATGCTTGTACCTAATATTATCAGCACCATAAAAAAATTCATGGTAATGATGATGACGACAACAACATCGGACAATGGTGTCTAACTAGTGAAAAAGGCTATTGCATATGAAAAGGGTAGGACAACTGCAATTTGCAATTAAAACGAGAATAGCATCACCACATCTACAGTGCCAAAAATTCCGAGTGCAACCATGTATACTATTTTTTGTTGTATCGTGTACTATCAAATATTGACGCCAATAATTCCTAGTCGTACAACCAAATATACTATACATAATTGTACCTGATGTAGTATATACGTTCAAGTATGCCTACGAGTATAGCACTACTTTGGGTGGTTTCCACTGGTGGCACGACTTTGGGACCTTCCTCCGGCCATCTTGACACCTTTTTTCCTCGGAAACCTCTCTCTCGCTTTGTCTCTCAAAACTAGCAACAGAGGACACATGACTTTCTATCAGTCCCCATAGACGACGCTAGTATTGGTTTTCAGACTTTTGGAGTAGCCTACCAGTGGTCCAACACAACCGAAATAGTAGCAAATTGCCGAAAATATAGGAAACACTCATATTGTCCTCTCAAATTTGCTCGTGTATATAAATTGCATTATCCTTTTTACAGTGCCTTAGAAGGCTTTTTATAGGGGTTCGAGTGGCCGTTGAACTCAACTTCGTCATAATACGATAAATGTGTTAATAATGAACAATAAATGCATTAAACGTCCACTATGCACGCCCGTCCAGCGGCTCATTTCCACGATAGCCTGCGCTAGTGCTATTAACTCCTCATCATTGCCCTTAACTCTTCATTAATTGCTCATTAATGGCACATCTCAACGGACTACTCTGACTCTTCTCCTCCCAACCGTCTCTTACCAACACCTTTCACCACCCGGCTTTAGGTTTATCTCCCACTCGGTTCATCTCAGCTTACTCCTTCACTCGTTAGGCACCTCGACTCTTCCATTCACCTGACCCCCTCCTCCTTTCGCTCGGCTTCCTGGATGCCTCCTTCACTCGATCAGTCCAAATGCTTCCTCCACTCGATTAGATCAGGACGCCTTCTTCACTTGATCGGCTCAGGATGCCTCTTCCTCTCGATCTACTCCTCAAGATCAGTTCGCGTTGTCCTCCGCCAAGCAGGATGGCTTTCACTATGAGTTGATGATTCTAGCAAGATCAACATTCACCATCTTTGGCCTTGGCAAGACGTATTCCTTATTTCGCTCAGTACCTCCCGACTCACAACTTGATCGCTTACTATCCCGCTTGGGTCATGTATTCATCCGGTCCTAGGGGTGCATATCTCATCAGTGTGTTTGAAAACCCATAAAATAATTCCCTGACATAATTTTATAAGTTTTACATATTTGGTAACTCATGAAAAAAAAAAAAAAAACATTTGTATAGTTAAAGTAAAATCCTTTGTTTTTCTCACTCTCTCCTCACAATTTGTCGTCTCTCACTCTCTCCTCACAGTCTCGCCATCGCCGGAGCCGAGCTAGAAAAGAAAGGCGGCGAGCCCTTCCTCGAAACCGAGCGTCCCCCTCCGTTTCATTCTTCTCTGCCCGAAATCCCGAAATTCCGCATTTGGGTTGTGGCTGTAAACTCTTCAAGCCCAGGACCATCGTCTGTTCTCGAGAAGGACCAACATCTGAATTACTCCGATAACGAAACCCCATTTTCATCTCCGGACGACTCCGAACCAAATCCTCCGCAAGAAGCTGTTCTCAAGGAAATTTCAGGTTCATTTGGTTATAATTTGGAATCTCCTCGGCCCCTTGTTCAGTTTGATTTGCAGTCTTTAATTGCATAACTTCCTATGAAAATTAACTGTCCTGATTCCTGGATTTGAGCAGAGTTCATAGTATTGCTTTGGACAGAAAACATAGTAAAGACTAGAACTTTTAAGGTGAAAACAGATTAATATGGAAAAAAAGACAGGAATTAAAATGTTTAAATTATATAATTCTGCTCATTTTCCAAAAAATGAACCAAACACACCATGCCAATTTTCTAGAATGCAACCAAACACTAGAAAGGAAAATGTTTTCTGGAAAATGACTTATTTTCCATAAAACATTTTACAGAAGTCATTTTCGGTTTCCAAACACATCCTAAATAGTAGTTCTCCATTTACATTTATTCTTTTTTCTTGCATTTGTGCAATTTACTGGTTTTTGGTCTAAAGGTGCATTGTCACAATTCGTGTGAGATATACAAGTTCATCTGAGTTTTGAGATCAGATTCCTGATTGGAATTGGAATTTCATATGAACTTTGATTATTGAAGCTTGGAAATGTCGCCATTCTACTGAAGAATCTCCATAAGCAAAGTTTGAAAAGTGTAATTTCAGTAGCAATTCTTTTTTGTAGTTCTGAGTTGTTTGGCAGTGAATCTGCGGAGGAATCCCCCTGCAAGCTGATGGTTCTGTAATGACATGGTATGAATTACAGTTTCTTTTCATGAAAATTGAATTCTCTGCAATATCCTATGTGTTTGTCACTTTATCTGATGTTCTGAAATGGTTCTGTGGATATGCAGATTGAGAAATTTCGTCAGTATTTCTGATTTTCGTAGTTTCTTCTGAGTTGCTGATTGAACCTTGGAAAAAACATAAGTTTTAGCTTTCTGTGAAGTTGAAGCTTTCAGGTAATACGAGAAGAGCCCTTGTATTTAACAATTAGGAGTATAACTAGCTTGCTTGATATTCATAGGAAGCCCACCATTGTTCAAATTGATTTATAGAAAACCCATGACAAAGCGTAACTCACTGGCAAACAAATAGGATTGAAACCTACTGTCCTGGATTCATACGAAGTATATAATTGGCCAGGTAATGTCAGCACCTGACACCAATTTTAGGTATATCATAGTTGGTTGTACACGGACACCCGGTAATATTGGTGCCATAGAAAAACCATACACACGCATACATATATATAAACCCTAAAGATGATAAACAATTTATCTAATTTTGAAGACGTATGACCAAATAATTTCAAACAGCAATTATTGCAGAGTATATAACAAATAATAAATACAGAAAAAGGACATTCTTATATGTCTAAATCCTTTAAAGCAATCCTGACTTCTCCTTTCTTATTATAGCAATGTTCTGGCATAGATTTGACAGCACTAAAATGATTGGCTTAAACCACAAGTAACTCTTCTGCTTATTTTCCATCTTTGTTAACTTTTGGATTTCTAAAGAAATGAAATGTGGTAATGGTTTATCTAAAAATTCATTATTTTCTTCTGCTAGACAGAAATTAGTAGTGTATATTATTCAGTATTTGATAAATGAAAAATAAATCCTTTTAGGCATAACAATCTCAAATTGTACTAAAAGGATGTCTTTTTTGTTTTATTTTTATTTTTGAGCAATTGATATATTGTACTGATGTGTCTTGAATGGCAGAATGGAAGGGCTTATGGTGGAAAAACATGTTAAGTACATTATATCAGTTGAAAAGGTCAGGATTATATATATTATTTTTGTGATTAATAGCAATTTGTTTGTTATTAATGAATCTATGAAAATGGCTTCACCTAATCACATAAACACAATTGCTTTTTCTATATGAAATAAAGAAACTTGAACGGGAAAGCAAAGTTGGTGGGCTTAAACTCAAGAATTGCTCTACAATTAACTCTTGCTTTACTTATTATTATTTTTCGGGATAATGGTCAAATAAGCTTTTGAACTATTTAAAACAATGCAATTGGACCCTCGGACTGAAAAAAGCTTCAAATATGCATCTTGCAAAAGAAAATGCAATTGAGCCCTTTTGACCTTTAATTGCATGTAAAAGTGAGGTTGCTGCTAACATGGACACCATGTCATGCCACTTCATACTTATATAGTATATATACTTAAAACTTATGTGGCATCTTATCATCATCCATCTCCTCCTACATCCAAGTCTTCCTCTCTTTGTCCAGAAGGATTTGGATGAGGAGAGGAATTAAATTGTATATTTCTAATTCCTCTCCTTGTCTAGATTCTTTGTTCTGGACAAAGAGATATAAACCATCAAACTATTTAGCCAATAAGAAGTTATCATTCATGGTAGGTGCATTTGGCATGTTAACTTGTTAATTACCATGTTAAATTATGGCTATTTTGAATATTGTTGAATTTTTGCAGATGTATTTTCCATTTGGTAGATATTTATGACTATAAACTATAGTTGTAATCTTTATGAAAGTTATTCTGTCATGCCTTCAGAAGAAAGATGATTTTGAATCAGATGTATTTTCCATTTGGTAGATATTTATGACTATAAACTATAGTTGTAATCTTTATGAAAGTTATTCTGTCATACCTTCAGAAGAAAGATGATTTTGAATCTGTGGTGATGGAGCATCTTAGATTAAGTGGAGCATACTGGGGATTGACTACTCTTGATATTCTAGGGAAGCTTGATGTAGTGGATCAAGATGAGGTCATTCCTTGGTTAATGCAGTGTCAACATGAATCTGGTTTGTGTTCCTATACTAAGTTTTTATTGTTTACTGTCTAAATTTTGTCCTACTGGTATAATCAGATAGATGTCCAACTCTGTTAAAAATCTTTTACTCTTTTTTGCACTGATCTTTACCCTTTTGGAGGTGACGTTCCTTGGTGATTTGATGCAAATAGTTTAGTATTTAATCTGGAGTCATGGGCTAGAATTGTGAAAATAGCCACTCTGCTTCAAATAGGATTAAGCTGCCTACATGTCACCTCTTTATGCTTTGTAGGCTCTGCTTTCTAGTAGCCCCGAGAATTGGGTTTTTCCTTTTCCTTGGACCTAGGGTTAGCTTATTCATTCTGTTACATGTGATTACCAACTAACCGATAATGCCTAACATCTGGCTACATTAATATTGAATTTGCTATTTAACTTATATTATAACTTGTGTTTATCTGTACAGGTGGATTTGGTGGTAACATTGGACATGACCCACATATCTTGTATACCCTTAGTGCCATCCAAGTTTTAGCGCTATTTGATAAACTTAATGTTCTTGACATTGACAAGGTCTCAAACTGTATCCTTCAACAGGGACTCTTGATATTTTGACAATTTATAACTGCATTTTAGTGTCACTCAACACATGTTATCCACTTTGTCCATGGGGATATGCATTCTATATTTCAAGTGTATCTTCTATATAGTAATCCAACTTTACAAGAAAAAAGAAAGAAAAATGGAACTCATCAACAGTCTAAAGATGACTTGATTTATTAATTGGAACTGCGAAATGGTAAGGATCTCATGCTTAAATTATAAGGTGTTGAACTTGAATATATACCCAGATATTGCAGGCCTGCAAAATGAAGATGGGTCCTTTTCTGGTGACATGTGGGGTGAAATTGATACACGGTAATTGTCTGCACTTTGAAACCTTATGGATTCTTTATTTTTGCTTCTTAGTTTCCTTGTTCACTTACAGAGAACAGGTTTTACATGTTATTTGTGTTTCTTTTAACAATAGTGTTATCATTGAGATAAGAGAATAACATATTGTAATTCTTTCTTTAGGTTCTCTTACATTGCAATAAGTTCTCTTGCACTTTTGAAACGATTGGATAAAATCAATGTTGAAAAAGCAGTACAGTACATATTAAGTTGCAAGAATGTGGATGGTGGATTTGGTTGCACACCTGGGGCAGAATCTCATGCCGGGCAAAGTATGTTGCATAATATAGTACATTAATTTTATACCAAATGTTCTTACATGTTTCTTGACATATAAGAGAGAGATCTACTTAAATCTACCTTGGTAAATCATTATTCAACCATTTCGCATTGTGATAATGGATTCATGGAATTTATTTAGTATAATCAGGATGCTAGGTATTCATGTAATCATAAAAGAAAACAAGTGAACTTTTCATTTATGATACATTTTGTATGCTTGTAATGCTCGCTATAATGATTGGGAAGTCTTCTTAGAGCGAGGTCCTCTTCGTTGGGAAGTTTTCTTAATTTCATATGTTATAGAAGATCAAATAGAGAGGTCTTTAAAATGGATGTGCCCCTGATTATCGTTATCATTTTCTGGCATTTGAACACGTCTTATTTTTTAGTTTTATGTAATGTCATGTATTTGTGATGCCATTAACCACATGTGCTATGATCCGTTCTAATTTTAATACTATTGCAGTTTTTTGTTGCGTGGGAGCACTTGCAATAACAGGCTCTTTACATCATGTTGACAGAGACCTCCTTGGCTGGTGGTTATGTGAACGACAAGTTAAATCTGGGGGTCTAAATGGGCGTCCTGAGAAGCTTCCTGATGTGTGTTACTTACTCCTGCTTGATAAATACATAAAAGCTGCTGGTTTGATTTTAAAGATGTAACTGATCTTGCTTCTATTATTGAATCCAGGTCTGCTACTCTTGGTGGGTTCTGTCCAGCTTAATTATGATAGACAGAGTTCACTGGATTGACAAGGAGAAGCTTGTAAAATTTATTTTGGACTGTCAGGTTCGTTCTGAATCCTAAGTTGCTGAGTTGAAATCCTCTCTCAAAAGCAGTATTGTAAAAATCGGTCTAGGCGCTATGCGCCCCTAGGCTGAGGCGATTTCAGCCCTAGGCGGCTTTTAGTCGGCTGGCCGACTAGGCGCCTAACTTGGTTGAGTTGGTGCCCAACTTGGCCGAGTTAGCACTCAACTCGGGCGAATGTTTTTTTTTTTTTTTTGTCTGCTCGGCTACTCCTCTTCTATATTCTTCCAGCCATGTACTTAACTAACCATCTAACATATGTAGTTGACTAGTTTGGGGGATTATAACAGTCTAACAACTCCCAGTCCCGAGTGGGAAAAATAGAGACATATACTCGGATTACTCGGCTGCCTAGGCGCTAGGCGTCCCCCGGGCGCCCGACTAGTCACATATCATTACTTCTCTTTCTCTTTCCTTAAGCAACTTCATGTTCAATCTTATCAGTAGCCGTACTTCATGATTGCGCAGGATAGAGAAAATGGTGGAATTTCTGATAGGCCAGAAGATGCAGTTGATGTCTTCCATACATACTTTGGAGTTGCTGGTAAGTGTTGGATAACTAACCCCCACCACCAGTCCAAAATCATAAAATTATCTGTCAAACTTAGTTACATTCTAAGTTTGGGTCAAACCAACTCGCTATAATGCACATGGGTCAAACCACACTAAAAACTGAATCCAATCAATTAGTTAGTCTAATCCATTGCATTATAACCACATATGTTCTCTCTTATATTTTCAATGTGGGACTCTTAACAAAACTATAATTACACCACTCAGGCACTCACTAATTCACCATATATTGAAAAGTTGAAGTGAACTGATTCGGAAATAAAAACTGTTTTAGTTTAATTCTCAAAACATACTAGTAATCACAACCCTCTGCATTCTGTGTACTATTAACCTATTACCAAATAAACTGATCAGATTTATCTTGCTGATTGAAGCAACCCTGGTAATGGCAACTTTTTTTCATTGCATAACCATTTTCTTCACTGCAGGTCTTTCACTTTTGGAATATCCAGGGCTAAAACCTATAGATCCAGCTTATGCCCTTCCCGTTGATGTTGTAAACAAAATCATCTTTCACAAGTAATGGGTTATTTTATACTCCGTAATTGTTTGATTCCAGGACTGCCACCTCTTGCATCCTATTTTCATCAAATTTGACGAAATCTTTTGTTGAAGGGATTTGCTGTGGTACTCGTAGGCTCATATACCATAAGAATTTCTTCGTCTTTCTTTGGTATGTTTTTTTTTTTTTTTTTTTAGTCTGTGTGGTTGAGGTGTTTACATCTAGTGCAAGATATTGATTTGAAACAGGTAAAATACGTACAAGTTGTTTAAATTGAATAGGGTACATTTTGTTATGTTTTTGGGTTATGTATTTATTTATTTATTTAGTTATCTTAGTGTAGTTGTGGTGTTTACATCTAACTCATGATAATAACTTGAAGTAGTTAAAACTTTTACAAACTGTTTGAATTCAATAGGATACGTTATATGTTTATATTGTCTATACAAAATATTTTTTTTAAGTATATCTTGACTGCTTAATATATTTATAGTTTTGCCAAGCATCTTGTGTTTAGATCATGGCCGGATTTTAGGCGTGTAAGATGGGCAACAACACATGGTCCAATATTTATTTTTGACATAGCTACTTAAGAAATTAAAAAAAAAAAAAAAATCTACAATTTATCCTAGAACTCATAAATTTTATCTCAAATCACTTCTTTCTCCTAATAATTAGGACCTAATTAATTGAGCATGACAAAACCATTATATTTCCCTAAATAGATGATGTCTCAAGTCCTGAATCTGTAGAGCTAACTTGAAACCTGTACCATTCGCCACAAATACCATTCACCATTAAAGATTGTACTTATATTTTTGGTAGGGCCTCATTTATTTATAAGAATGGAGTCACAAAAATAAAAAAAACCGGCCCTGGCTCAGATGACACTTCTATGTGGCTCCCCTTGAGGGAAGATCACAGGGGCAAATTATATCGTGCACTGTGGTGCATAATCGATTATGCATCCCAATGCGCTCTCCGTTAACACTAACGGCGCGCCGTTTCTTTACTTAAAGAAACGGTGTCGTTCACCGCGGTCCACGATATAACGACTGGGTCACAGGATCAAACCCCGTGGTGGAGTATTGACTCTTTGGACTGCAATAGTTAGAGAAAGTAAAACAGATACTACATTGTAATAGAGTTAATAGTATTCAAAAAGAATTTATAGTTTTTTTTTTTTTTTTTTGGGTCATCTGACTGAACATAGTGATATTTTAGTCGCTGAATTTTAAAATCTTTGTTATGCACAACTTTGAAATTTGCCACACTTGTGCTCTTTGGGCAAATAGATTATTATTGTGTGACTGTACAATCAAATAATGTATATTCAAACCAGCTTGTTACTTTTCAAAAAAAAAAAAATAGTTTGGTTGGCGTGAGTGGTCGTACACTCTCATTCCTTAAGAGAGGTCGTGAGTTTGAATCCCTCTCGTATGGAAAAAACTAATTTGGCCCGCACTTTGTCCCTTAATTAGGTCGGTATATGTCGTCTACAGTTATGATCTGCTCAGGACAACTCATGGACTATATATATATATATATATATATATATATATATATATATATATATATATATATATATATATATATATATATATATATATATTCAATGCATAAATAATGTACTTTTATTATATTAATAAAATACATTATATTCAAAGAAAATATATTATTTGAGTACTGAAAGTATATATTATTTTATATAATATACATTCAGTACATGAATAATATACTTTTAATATATTAAGAATGTATTTTTTGTTATGGTTTACACAATATTTTGCCATTGACAACCGCCGGAAGTTTAAATTTGTAGGGATAAAATTTTCCAATGAAAGCATTTTAAAATGTGTAAACTTTTAATTTTTAATACGGGAAAAGGGCCAAATAGGCACATAACTTTACACGAAAGTGTAATTAAATCATTGAACTTTAAAAAAATTCAATCGAACTTATACTTATCATTTTGGTGCATTCAAACCCAATAGTCGATTATCCACTTGGGATAATCGGACATTAGGGTTCTGGCGACCATTCCAGCACCTGGCGAACCATTATAACGGCCGACGAACTATCACCGACTGTAATTACGATTGAAGAAGGCCGATCACCTTCTTCGGTGGAAAAGGCAACCATACGGCCACCTTCTCCAGTTGGAGAAGGTGACCGGGCGTCATCTTCTCCAACTGGAGAAGACGACCAGATGATTGCCTTTTCCAACTGGAGAAGGTGCTGGTCCCCTTCTCCAATTAGAGAAGGCGCCGGTCACATTCTCCATTGGCAACGGATTTTTTAATTTTTAATTTTTAATTTTAATTTCGGTAATGAAGAGTGATATACGGTGGTCAACGATTGTTAATAGTGATTAACAACGGATAATTTATTGATAACTTACTGAAACTGGTAAATATAATTTATTTAACTAATTTTTACAAATTCAAGTGTTTAATTATTATTATTATTATTTTTAATTCAGAGACTTATTTGCATTTTAACAAAAAATATAAGGGCTTATTTGACCCTTTATAAAGACTTTTATAGTTTTATATATTTCGTAGCAACTACTACATCACTAACATACATAACCCAAGAAACGTTTAAAAAAAGAAAAAGAGAGTTGGCTAGTCTTCCACATCGCCAACAAATCCTTTACTTTAATTGGAATTTTTCTTGTATTAATTGATAAATCAAATAATTTTTAAATAGCAATATAAATTAATAATTAAATAGTTCATTAATAAATTAATTAATGACAATTTTATAGCAGGGTGATTTTTTTTTTTTTTTTTTAATTTTAAAAAGGCCCAAACATTTTTAGTACTTATTGTGGTGCAAAAATAATAGAATATAAATCATGTAAACATTTTAACAAACAATAACAATTTGTCAATATACTTAAATAGACCATCAAATTATTTGAGAAATAATAATTACAGGGCGTTTGGTTGGAGGGGGGAATTATGTGGGAAAGAAATTGTAATTCCATGGGAGTTGAATTACTGGGAATAAGCTTTCAAAAAAAAAAAAAAGAATTACTGGGAATAAAGTGAGAATTTAAATTCCAGTGTTTGGTTGACAGGAATAGAATTATTGGGAATTTCAATTCCAATGTTTGGTATACATGAGAATTGAAAGGGAATAAGTAGTATAAAGTAAAAAATGTCCATTATTGTTGTTAGATATTAATTTTAAGTTAAAAAATGAAGGAATAATGTTGACTCATCACTATCTTTTTTTCCCAGGAATTAAAATACCAGGGGGGACATGGAATTTTAATTCCATGAAAATGGGAGAATTGCAATTCCATGGAATTGCAATTCCCTCCAACCAAACTATGGAATTTAATGGCCTTTGGAATTAGGTGGGAATTAAGTGGAAATGAAATTTAAAATTCCTCCAACCAAACATCCTGTTAAGGTATTAAACTAAAAAAAAACTTCAAATTAAACGCATTATTGTCTGGGTTTAAAAGAATATTCCATCTATTCCGTAATTTTATTTAAAAGAAAATTTAATTTCCTTCTCGTTGCTTCTCTCTTTCCCTTCCATCTCGATTTCTTTTCGTTGGGTACGAAACTACAAGTCTACAAACAAACAACTCAAATTCGCTGTTAGAATTCAATTTTACTGGAGAATAGTGAGAAATTTCTGGTAGGGATTAAGTTTTTCCACATTTACTTGATGAATTCTCTCCCGGTAAAACTCAGTTCAAAGATTAAACTTTGTTCTTGTATATTTGTGTTTCGGTGGAATATGCATGGTTTGATTCGAGTGTTTTGCTATAAATCACAGAGAAATTTGATATAATTTTGAGGGTTTTGGATTTTGGACGCAATGGTGGAATCAACTTCAGGCTCCAATGTGGTGGAGGAAACTTCTCCGGACTTGCTGAAGAACACGGCGTCGAATATAAGGAGGTTGGCAAATGAAATTGAGCAGTGTGAGGGTAGGCAGAAGTACCTTGCTCAGACAGTAAGTCCATCCGATGGAGGTGATGTCCGGTGGTACTTCTGCAAGGTTCCTCTGGCATTGAATGGTTAGTTATTGCATTGTTTTGATATATATTTTTTTCATTTTAATTTTTTTTTTTTGTTGTGTAATCTTGCTGTCCCTGTTTTGTTGTGTTACTGAGTTTGATTGCTTTGCTGAATTTTTATTTGATTGTTTAGTCCAAATTTCTCTTTTGTCTATGTGAGGTAAGATGGTTTTACATGCAAGTGGCAGTTTAATCTTTATTGTCTTTGTAGATGATAATGGTGAGAATACTGGATAAGGAGAGGTTTCTGACATTGACATTCTGTAAAGAGAAACCAGTGAAATTCATGTGTTGTCCTTGGAGTTTTATCCATATAGTGTTTCAGAATTTATCTAATTATATTCTAACCAAACAAAAAGAGATAAAAAGGAGAAAGAAAAGTATTTCTAGTAGTATTCAAGCATGTTCAGTCATAGAATTCTTTCTTCAAATTCTCATTAATTTGGTTGGTTTTATTTCAACGACTTAAGAATGTGTGTGTGTGTGAGAGAGAGAGAATGCATGTCCATGTGCTTCACTTCTTAGCTACTATGAAGCATAACAATCTTGTCCTTCAAAAGCTTACATCCAGAATTTGTTTGCAGAACCTGCTGCTGCAGTTCCTCGCACAGAAATAGTGGGGCATGGTGATTATTTCAGATTTGGCATGAGGGATTCTCTAGCTATTGAAGCTTTATTCTTGCAGGTATTTTCACATAATTGCACTCTTATTTCTTAAAAATAAAATTATTCAGCTCCCATTGATTGCCTAATGAATAAGTTTCTAGTTTGGGAAACTAATCATGTAATTATCAAGAGACGGAACACTTTCCTGAATGAATATATTCTTCTCTGGGATGTTTTTCACAACAAGGACTAATGGATTCAATTATTTAAATGTAGAGAGAAGAAGAGTTGCTTTCTTTATGGTGGAAAGAGTATGCAGAGTGTAGTGAAGGTCCAAGTGAATTGCCTAGTAAATTAAATTCAATGTCAATAGAATCTTCTCCAGTGAACTCTGAGTCGGCTGAACAATATGCAGTAGAAGAGAGAGTTGGTGTCCCTGTAAAGGGAGGTTTGTATGAGGTAATTGTCTTGCTTGCCACCTCTGAAGACTTAATCCAATCTGCTTCTGATCTGCCAATTGTATCAATGTCAAGATATTGATTGGTGTAGGCCATTGTTGAGGAGGTTTGAACTTGGGTAAATCGTTTTTGAGCCCCATTAATTGCCATTAGGATATTCAACTTTATTTGATTAATAACATGGTGTTC